GGGGGGGGGGGGGGGCAGAAGGGAAGGAGAGAGCTGGGAGGAGGTGAGGGGCAGCTAAGGAACCTCTTCTATGAAGGAAGAAGGGCCTGAAATCTGACAGACCCCATGGGCAGCAACAAGGAGCCATGGGGGTGGCGGGGAGAGGCCTGCTGCACGGCTGTCCTTCTCCCGCCCCCTCCCTCACTGTGGATAGTGGATCTCATGACTGTCTCTTCTCCTGCCCCTAATTAGCAGCTCACTCCCCCCACACATTGTCCCAAGCCAGCACCCCAGCCAAGGCCTCTTTTGTACTGTCAGATTCCTGGGTGCAAGGTGGCCTCATTAGTGCCCGGAGACCACCCCATCTCCAAGGAGCACGCAGACACACAAGGGGGGGACCAGGGGCACGGTGCTCCAACCCAGGCCTCCGAATGCCTCAGCAGCCATTCCTTGGGCCCAGCCCAGAGACGGCCCCCTCGCAGGAGGCTAATCTTAGACTTGCCTTTGTCTGGCCCCGGAGTGGACGTAAAAGCTTGTCTCTTCCCCGCCACCTCAGAGCACTATAAACCCCGGGCCCCTGGTAGCAGGTCACAGTCGATTGCTATTTGGAGCACTGCAGACACCTCCTTTCCTGGCTACCCCACCTGGAGCTTCAGACACCATGATCCTCCCCTTCAGAAAGGTAAAGACCCAGGGACTGAGGGTGACTCATTGTACCAGAGAGACAATGTGAGTGCTTGCTCAGGGGGATGGAAGGAAGGCCGAAGGTGTCCTCACCTCTTAGCCTTTCCCTATGTGGACTCTGAGGCAGGAGACTAGGTGGATCCTCGGCCGAGAATCTGCCTTGACTAACATTGGGTTGTGCCCTGTTCTAAGAGTTCGTGTTTATTGACCACTTATCACGTGTCAGGTGCTGTGCTCACACCCGTCACCTCGTTTCATCCTTCCAGCAGCCCTGCATAGTAGGCATTATTTAATACTCAGTTTACAGGTGAAGAAGCTGTGCCCGGAGAAGGTGGGAAACTGGCCCAAAGCTATGGAGTTCAGTTACCCCCGCAAGGGAGCAGGCAGAGGAGACACAGCTTGGAGTCCTGCCAGTCCACTATTTCCACGTGTTTGCCTGCTGTGGGGAGGTGGGGGGACTAAACAGGGTCTCTTTTCCCAGAGTTTACAACTTGTGCTGCGGCCTCAGACACGCCTGTTTTCAGGTGGAGTGCTGAGCGCTCTAATGTGGGTCCAGTGGACTAGGGGTATCCAGAGGAGAGAGGGATTCGTTCTGCCTAGGGGGTCTCAAGGGCCTTTCTGGAGGAGACAGCTCTGCTGGGTCGTAAAGGATGAGCAGCTAAAGGGCCCCGATACGAGCCCTTCTCTAACAGGGCGCTTCAGACAGCAAGGAGGGCACAGAGCCAGGGAAACGAAGTCACGGCGAGAGAGGAGCTCAGGTCGGGAGGGGCGAGGAGACAGGTGGGCAGGGCCTGGGCGTGGGCGCTGGAAGACCCCCAGCGCCCTGTCTCCGCTCCCTAGGTCTCCTGGGCCGGCGCGATGCTGCTGCTGCTGCTGCTGCTGCTGCTGCCACCCACGCTGCTGTCTCCAGGGGCGGCTGCGCAGCCCCTGCCCGACTGTTGTCGCCAGAAGACGTGCTCCTGCCGCCTCTACGAGCTGCTGCATGGCGCGGGTAATCACGCGGCCGGCATCCTCACTCTGGGCAAGCGGCGGCCGGGGCCCCCGGGCCTCCAGGGCCGGCTGCAGCGCCTCCTGCAGGCCAGCGGCAACCACGCGGCCGGTATCTTGACCATGGGCCGCCGCGCAGGCGCACAGCCGGCTCCTCGTCCCTGCCCCGGGCGCCGGTGTCCTGCCGCAGCCGCCGCAGCCGTCGCGCCCGGGGAACCGTCCGGGGTCTGAGCCCTTCTTCAGACTCTGTCCTGGCCCTGCCCTCTCCCTTCTGCCCACCCGGTGTCAGCCCCCAGAAAAATGTCAATAAAGACGAGTGTCACTTCGTGTGGCTGCTGCCTGTTTCTGTGTCGTCGCGTCCATCCCTCCAGGGGCCAGGAGAGCGTCTTGCGATCGATAAAGACAGAAGGGCCTGGGAGCCCGGCTCTGGGCCACCAGCCCCAGCTTATGCGTCGTTGAGTCCGAAACACTCTGGGTTGGGGAGTTCCCAGTGCAAGGAGCCGTGAAAAGCCCTGGGGTGCAGAAAGAACCACACGCGCGCATGTCTGGAGGGAAGGATGCGGGACGGATGCGTCCCACGATGGGGGCCTTTACAGAGAGGCACGCGGGACGGGGAGAGAACAAGGAAGGCTGCGCAGAGGAGCGGGATCCGGCTGGGAAGGGGTGGGAGTCGAGCCTGCTGGAAAGGCAGGGAACATGAGCTTCAACAGGGAATCGTCCAGAGTAGCTGCTGCGCGGAGTAAAGGGTATGGAGAGCGGTGAGGCGCCGGAAGGAAGCGGTTTAGTTCACGTGCAGCCGGGACCGTGATGGCCTCATAAATCATCAGGCTCTGTACTTTGTTCCGCAGATATCCGGGAATCACGGGAAGTTCTTCAGCAGTGTGTGGGACAAGATTTTCCTGCAACTCTAGCCAGAGACACCTGTTATAGGTTGAATTGTATTCCCCCAAAATTCATATGAAGTCCTAACCCCAGCACTTCAGAATGTGAACTTATTTGGAAAAAGGGTCCTTGCAGATGTAATTAGCTAAAAAGAAATCATACTAGAGTGGATGGGCGTCTAATCCATCATGACTGGGGTCCTTATAAAAAGGGAGAATTTGGACACAAAAACGCACAGAGGGAGAACCCATGTGAACATGAAGGTAGAGACTGGGGTGATTGTCCCTACAAGCCAAGCAATGCCAAAGCCTGCCAGCAGCCCACCCGAGGCTAGGGGAGAGGCATGCAGCAGAGCTTCCCTCAGAGCCTTCAGAAGGAAGCAAGCCTGTCTTCACTCTGATCCTGGCTGGACTCCTAGTCTCTAGAACTGTGAGACGATAGTTTTCTGTTGTTTGAGCCTCCCACTTTGTGGTGCTTTGTTATGGCAGCCCTGGGAAACTAGTACAACATCCGAAAGTACAGATACAGAAAGATGTGACACTTTTCAGCAATCTAACACAGCAGATAGTGCCCGGCTTAGACCCTGGGGGTGAGTGGGGAGCACTGAGCCTGCTCTCTCACCAGGAAGGTTCCCACTCTCACTGGCTTTAGCCGTTTTGTACAAGGAAGCAGCCACCCTCAGCCACCACACTCAGCAGCCTCAATAATTTTGTGCTCAGGCGGTGAGAAAGTCCTGTGTCTAGTCTCGACTGTTCCCTCTTGCTGTTGCACTGATTCCATCTTGGAGCAGGTAGAGATCAAAGCACCCCTGTGGGGCTGGCCGGTTAGCTCAGTTGGTCAGAGCTCAGCCTTACAGCACCACGGCCTCTACTAGCCAGATGCAAAATAAATAAATAAATAAAACCTTGGAGATTTGCAAACCATGGCTCTGCTCACTCCTAAACTATCTTTCTCAGTCCCAAATTTGCCTGCAGGGTCTCATCCACTTGAAGGGCAGCAGCGAGAAAGAGGGTTCAATCAAGACAGTAGGAAGAGGGAGGACAGGGAGGCAATCGCCCTCCAAGACACTTATTTTATGCCAACTACATGCATTAGGCTATTGAATCCTCACGGTAACTGCATGAGATAAGAATTATTAGCTCCATTTTACACATGAGGAAAGCGAGGCTCAGAGAGGCTGCCACATAATCAGTGTCCAGAGTTGGGATTCTACACAGTGGACTCCAAAGCTCGCTTCGTTTCACCCCGCGTGCCCAGAGGCAGAGTTGCCGGGGTGCCCTAGGCAAACCGAAGCAGAAGGCGAGAGTTTAGCGCTGCTTTCTAGGCACTGAGGTTCCAAGTCTTCCCGTCGCTGACTCCCCACGGGCACACCTCGCCTTCTAACCCTTGCTGTCTCACGCTGGAACGAGCGGGATGGGAGGCGCTGCGAAATACCTCAACTCCAGCAGGTGGCGCTGTGAACCAGACACCAGCCCCAGCGTGGGCAGCGCGCCGGGAAGCCCGCGGGGTGGAGCCACGAGGAGCAGCCAGGGAACCACGCGCGGGGGCGGAGCCACTCCGAGAGGGGCGCGCCTGTCATTCTAGCCCCGCCCACCACTTCAGTCCTCCCCTCCCGGTGGGCGTGTCCCTAATTCTCTCCCCTGGAGACGCGCGTGGGTCGCTCCCCTCTGGGAGGAGGGGTGCGGGTGTCGCTGGCGGCCCCTC